CATGCAGAGAACTGGGTTAAAAATTGCTAGGTGCCCAGGCGGTGTGGCTCAGCAGTTGAGCATGGACCTATGATCCAGGAGATCATGGTGAGGGCACATGCCTGGGTTTTGGGATCCATCCCGGGTGGAGGGCATGAAGGGGGCAGCCAATCAATGACTCTCTCATCATTGATGTTTCTGTCTCTCTCTCTCTCCCTCTCCCTTTCTCTCTCTGAAATCATTAAGACATATTTTTAAAAATTGCTAGGTGATTTGGAGGGGTAAAAGTGGGAAGGGTGACGTGCCCAGGGTTGAGGAGCTAGCTGCAGGGAACCTGCCCCTGCTGCCTCGGCCTCCTCTCCCTTTGGATGCAGCAGGGGCGCCCACTAGTGGCAGGCCCTGACCTGAGCCCTGTGGGCCAGGGCATTTGGGAAATGCAGTTTCTGGCCTCCAACCACCATGCTGTGGGGAGTGTAGTGTTGTAAAGCCCAGACATCTGTCCAGACGGCCACAACATGCATGCGACATGGGAATCAGGGTTGCACTGGACCCCAAGCTCCTGTGGCTTGAAGACAGCAGCTGACCTCTTGCTCACAGAGGAGCACCAGTGGGTGTGCCTGGTCTGCTAGTGGCTTCTCTTCACAGAGGTCCACCTGCTCAGGACCTCGCTCTGTACCACCTCACTTCCTCCCTTATGATGAGGGGTGGCCAAGCAGCAGAGCATGTTTTTGAGCACTGCCATGTTCTGAGCTGCTCCCTCCAGAATAGGCCTGGTAAGTTTCCTCTTTGGAATGGGTTGAATTGTGTCCCCCAAATTCATATGTTGAATTCCTAAGCCCAGGACCTCAGAATGTGGCCTCATTTGGAGATCCTTCCTTACATGAGGTGATCAAGTTAAAATCAGAGTGGGCCCTGATCCAATAGGACTAGGGATACTTGGAGACACACAGTTGTGCCCCTGCATGCCTGCCTGATTTTTGCTCAGTGTGGGAGCGTTTAATACATACATGAACTCATGAGTTCTGCCCTGTGTTCCCCTATTTAAAGGACAGTTGTTCCCTTGATGGCCATTTATTTCCTTGACACTGTTGATTAAGGCCCATCACCGATTACTCCTGTTTCTGGAAACCTGTGCTGTTGAGCATGTGTGAGGACAGACAGCCTGTTTGGTGGTCACTGGTGTGTACAGTCAAGGTGGCACATCACCATCTCCTGAAATCCCTGTCACCTCCCTGAGTGCTATGGACTGCACTGTGTTTCCCCAAATCCATATGTTGAATCCTAACACCCAATTCAGTGGTGCTAGGAGGTGGGCCTTAGGGAGGTGACTGGTTCATGAAGCCAGATCCCTCATGATGGAACTAGTGCCCTTATCAACGAGGCCCCAGAGAGCCCCCTCACCCTCTGCCATGTGAAGTCATAGCAGGGAGATGTCAGTGAGCCAGGAAAGGGTCCTCACCAGAGAGTGAGTATGCCACTGCCTTGATCTTGAACTTCCAACCCCCAGAACTGTGACAAAGAAATTTCCATTTATAAATCACCCTGTCTGTGGCATGTTTGTTATAGCAGCTGGAGCACACTGATGCACCAAGTCACAGGTTCTTACTGCTTGATTCTAATCAGCCTGGCCGAACAGTTTCTTGGTGCTGTGGCTGGGTACCAGCCCTATTTTTGTCGTCAGACCTATAATCAGGAGGTTGTGGGTAAGGCAGTGATGCTGGTGTCCAGCTGGAAGCAGGAGTGAGTGGGGGAAATGGTACTGAGGATGAGACAAAGGGACACTCCTTCCATGACACTTCTGGGTAGCAACTTGCAGTCCAGACAGAGTGGAGAGCCGCGGACTCGTCTAGACATCACCCTACAGAGAGTGCACAGTGGGAAAATGAAAGGACATGTGTCAGGATTGTGAATGCCTGGGATTTGGGTCACCCAGCCAGCAGCGATGCCAGAAGCCACCACTCACCTTGCAGCCACCCGGCACCCGGGGGACCCGGACCTTGCTTGGTGGCCTGGGGTCTCCATTCCTGAGCGCCATGAAGTGAAGTCTTGCCGAGGGCGTCGGGGCTAAGAAGATTCCGTCTCTGTTCGGTCCAGGAGTCGGTACCGACCGCCAGGCCGTCAGAAGAAATCATTTTGCAATGCGAGTGTAGTTGGAGCCCCTTGGTGCCAATCGATGCGCAGCGTGTGGGTAAAGCACCAAGACGCCCTGCTGCCCGCCCGACGTGCCCCGGGCAGTGCCGACCACAGAGGGACCCTCGTCTCCGCAGCCGGACCTGGGGGACTACCCAGTACCTCGGGGCCCCGGTCAGGGCAACGCAGAGGTCGCCGCGGCCTGACTGGGGAGCAGACAGGACGCCACCCGGCGGGACTCAGGGGGAGAGGTCCCCTGGGCGCCGACCGCGGGAGGGACGGCCACAGGAGAGGAGCCCGTGGAGCTGAGACGTTGGTGAGCATCAGGGTGGGGGTCGTGCAGCCCGGGCGGCGGGGCACGGTCTCGGCCCGGCCAGCCCCGCGGGT